ATTTGTCCTTGAACTTCTCAGCCTTTTGCAACATTTCAGGCTTCGAACATGCTTATATAAAATAAGAAAAGGAACAAAATTTAATGGATATTTATAACTTTACCAAAAAAAAAAAAAAAAAAGCTGGTTGTGTAAAATTACTAAGCCCCCTTGACTTAATAGTTTGCAGCACCATCTTTTGATGTGATTACAGCTGTAGTCTCTTGGGGTGTGTCCATCAGTTCTGCAATGAGTGATGGAATTTTTTCCCCTTCTTTCTGCAAAACAGCTGGAGCTCAATGAGGCTGGATGGAGAGCGTTTGAACAGCAGTTTTCAGTTCTTTCCACACATTCAGGTCTAAACTTGGCCTTTCTAACACCTGGATGTGTTTAATTGTGGACCATTCTATTGTAAATTTTTCTTTATGTTTTGGATCATTGTCTTGTTAGAAGATAAATCTCTGCTGCAGTCATCTGCAGACTCCTAACAGGTTTTCTTCCAGAATGCTCCTGTATTTTGCTCCATTCATATTCCCATCAATTTTAACCATCTTCCCTGTCCCTGTTGTACGGAAAACACACCCAAACCATGATGCAGCCACCACACTTGACAGTGCGGTTGGTGTGTTCAGGGTGATGAGCTGTGCCAAATATGCTGTTTTTGTTCATTGTTGCCAGAAAGTTTAATTTTGGTTTCATCTGACCAGAGCAGCGTCTTCCTAGCCTGACGTAGTCCGACTCAATTCTAGTCAGAATATGAGTCTGATACTGCTCCATAGAGCTGTGATTATGGGGCGTGTTTCGAACGAACCAGGAAAAAAAATGCCTCTGCACTCAATTGGATAGACCTACAACCAATAAGAGCAACGGAGTGCGTGACGTATGTTAAGCGAGGCATAGTTGTTGTCCACAAAAATCAAAGCGTGCAGTTGCACGCCTAGAATAAGAATATGAGACTTGATCGCGTTTCTCTGTTCCTCTTTTAAAATTAATTTGCTTACGATATCTTCTAGAACAGACCTAATAGCAGAATCTACTCACCTAAACTCTCCAGCGGCAGCCATTATTGTTGTCACCCAAGCGCGCATTGGTCACGTGGTTGATTACGTTACTGTTTGTCATCTGTCCATCATCGTATAAAGCCCGCCCTGACAATTTGATTGGATCGCCTGACAGTGGGCTTTAATACTCGCGCTACTATGGAGCAGAGCCAGACCGAACTTCCCCGACCTCAAACTTTGTGGGCGGGACTAAGTTCTGACTGGCACCCAGGCTAGCGTCTTCCTTATTTGCTGTGTCTCCCAGGAGGCTTGTGGCAAACTTTAAATTAAACTTTTTATGGCTATATTAAAGAAATATCTTCCATAAATTGCAGATTTGTGCAGTATACGACTGATTGATGTCCTATGAACAGAGCTTCCCAACTCAGCTGTAGATCTCTGCAGTTCAATCAAAGTGATCATCGGCCTCTTGGCTGCATCTCCGTTCAGTCTTCTTCTTCTTTGAGCTGAAAGTTTAGAGGGATGGCAGGGTATTTGTAGATTCAAAGCAGTCTGGTCCTCCTTCTATTACAATATTATAAATTGCACAGTTCTCCTTGGGATGTTTAAAGCCGACTTTAAATTTGACCACAACAGTATCTCAGACCGACCAGGTGTGCTCATTGTTCTTCATGATGCTCTCTGCACTTTAAACAGACCTCTGAGACTGTCACAGAGCAGGTTTATACAGACTTAAAAACACACGTGGATTCTATTTATTATCATCAGTCATTTAGGTCAACATTGGATCATTTAGAGATCCTCTCTGAACTTCTGAAGAGTTTGCTGCACTGAAAGAAAAGGGGCTGATTAATTTGACGCTCCCCACTCTTCAGTTTCTTGTTTCTTAAAAGTATAAAATATCCAATAAATTTTGCTCCACTTCATGATTGTGTCCCACTTGTTGATTCTTTGCAAAAAATTGTAATTTTATATCTTTGTCTGAAGCCACAAATGTTTCAAAAGGTCGAAAAGTTTAAGGGGGCGGGATACTTTCGCAGGACTCTATAACCATCTTATTTTAATGATTAACTTTTATTCTCTTTAATTATGTTGTGTTGCCTCTATGCCACTACAACCTACATTTCTCAGGTTGAGCACCCTGACCTGTCTTGCCACTGGAATAAGCTTTCCCTGCCTAGCTTCATGTTGCAAAGACTAACTCATGTCATTTCGTCTGCAGGCTGTGGATCGACACTTCAAGCTGCCCCATGCTTCCAGCAAGCCACTCAGATCCACCAACAGCATGGAAGAATTCACCTACAAAACCCTGCGTTTTGCTCTTAGAGCCACACTCAAGACCGCCATTTACAGGATAACCACCACCTTTGGAAATCACTTAAAGTAAAAAAAAAAAAAACTTTTAAGAACAAAGATGTACTATTTGAGGCATTCCATATTCTGCACAGACTAATACTTTTTTTTTTCTTTTTCAAATTTCAGTGCTGTTCAGATGTCTGCAGAGCACTGGAAGAGACTGCAGCAGTTTTTGGAGTTCAAAGAATAAGACCCTGTACTTTGGTTTCTGCCCCTACTGTTTCTCATTGGTGTGATTTTTGCTGAACATGTAGACTAAAGAGAAACCCGTGAAAGAACATCATAGTGCCTCCCTGAACATTTCTCTGCAGTTTTATTGTATTGCAGATTGTATTGGACATGTCTGATCCTACATGGCACATGCAGGAAATGCATTAGAAAAAACCTACAGGCTGCAAATAATGGACTATAAAGACCTTTGTACAGCAAGTCATTAAAAGAAATATCGTTTGTAAAGAAAAATATAATTATCTGTGTTTGAAATTGTAAAAATGTGTTTGCCAATGTTCCTTTGGTGTTTACTTTTCAGCAGTATAGTCTTTTTCGGGGGTATGAGTGAAAAAGGCAAGAGTGATGCTATCTGTTTTTTAACGAGTTGTTTGTGGTCATGGTATCTAAAATCTGTTTTAGGTTTGATTTTGGAAATTTTTCTCAATTTGTGTCCTCAGTGAACACAGATCAGATCTTTGTTTCTAGATGCTTAGCTTGAAGTGGATGTTTAGGGTTTTATGCCCTGTTAGAACATACGCATAGATGGTTCAGCTCTTTAAGTTCATGTTTTTTTCAATAACCGTATAAACTTTTTTTCTCTTAGACTTCAATAATAATAAAAAAAAGTTTAGGATTCAAATATTTTTTTGCCTGGGACAGATTTTAAACTATTTTAATAAAACCCTAGCTTCTGTATTTTAAATACCACCTAATTTTATCCAGTTTTACCCCTTATTTTTCTAGCATACATTTAAAAGAGAACCAGTGAAAACAAATTGTTTAAAAAAAAAAAAAAAAGACCATATATTTGCATATGGAGTCTACTAACAATATCCTTCCTATAGACTCCTTATTCAGATGATCTGAAAAATAATCAATTGTATTTTGACAAAGTAATCACTAAATTACCAAACTTAATGTAATTTGACTGAACTTTTTCACAAAGCTTCATGGAGGGGCTGGAACTTCAGCTTTTTTGCTGAAGCAACCTTTTTAAAACATTGCAGCGGGAACTTAACGTGAAAACTGCATACCTTTGAAGGCTACTGTCAAAGCTTCCATTACTAGAAAAGCCTAACTTTATTAGCCAAACCTTAAAATCAGCAAATACACACGAGGGAAAAAGATTCAAATTTGAAAGTAGCTTTCAAATATATTTTTGCATCATTGGTGTTATAGAAAACTATTGCAAAAACCTTTTTTTTTTTTTTTTTTTTACATTTAAGCTTCTCTTGTGTGTTTTTTTTTTCTTTGTAAATTTTAGATTTCAACCTGTTAAACAACTAAATTATTTGCAACTAAAATAAATCAATTATATGCATTAGTGCCCCATATAGAGACTTCTACAAAGCCTCCAAGTTTGAATCTAATCTTTGGAAAATTTTACACATTTAAAAAAACTGTTGGTTCTTTATGCTTAATGAAAGGAAAACCGACAATGGTCACAGAAATAACCTGAATCTGACAAAATAAGAATTCTATGAACATAAAAGTCAAACATAACTTAAGAACTTTGACAAAATGATTCTAAAAAATACATTCATGGAACAGACCTGGACAAAGATTAAAATGATCAAAGGCTAATGTTAAATTAAGATGTGTCCACAGTATTGTAATCAGTGATTGCACCATCTGTTTGAGCAAAAGTGTTCTTAATGATCCTTGATATTAAGAAACAAAAAGCGAGACTGGAAATTGCCAAACTACATGTTAAAAAGCTGAAAACCTCCCGGGAGAATGTCCAATGGACAGATGAGACAAAAATTGAACTTTTTGTGGCGGTACATCAGCTCTATGTTTAGATGGAAAAATAAAACCTTTACAGTAAAGAAGACTTGTCCCTACTGTGAAACATGGAGGCGGCTCTGTTATGATCTGGGGCTACTATGATTTATCTGGCACAGGGTGTCTGAATCTGTCATCTCGATACCATCAAGGGAGTCTAGAGAGAAATGCGCTGCTCTGTGTCAGAAAGCTTGGTTTCAGTCACAGTTCATGGGTCTGCAACTGGATAATGACCCAAAATAGCCAAGAATATCTAAGAGGAAAATATTGGACATTTCTGATGTGGCCTTCTATGACCCCTGACTTAAATCCAATTGATCATCTTTGGGAGGAGCTGCAACCTGCTGTCTGGAAAAAGGACCCTTAAAACCTGAGACACCTGGAGCAGTTTGCTAATGAGGAGGGAAGGTCTGATCCAAAGTTAGAGAAATCGTTTAAACATGAAGGGTACCATCATTTTGGTCCAGGCCTTTTTAATGAGTTTATATTTTAAATTCATTCTTTTGAATGATAATGGAAAAGCTTTTTTTTGTTCATTTTTATTGATTTTTTACTAAATATTACTTTTGTCAATTTCAAGTGACATTTACCTTACTTGTGTTGACTGCGGTAGTAAAAACGAGATCATTTTGTTCTTATAGGCACCAATGACATAACATGACAACCTCAAGAGCTTCATCTTTTTTTATTGCACAAATTGTACATATTTCCAAAGATCCAGTAGAATGCAATATTAGGCAGTGGTGGGAAAATAGTTTAAACAAAGCCTTTTCTTTTATAGCTATGCAATATGCTGAAAATAGCATGTGGGAAAATCTGGATAGAACATTTCGATATTATGGAACTATTAAAAAAAGAAAAACCTCAACAGGAGAAAACTGCTTTAATACTTTGAATGTTTATGTCAAGAAAACGGAAAAAAAACAAACCAACAGAAAAAATTAACGAATTTTTTTTTCCTCTGTGGATTTGAAAAGTATTTTGTCCTTGTACAGTATAGAATATAAATCTCTGCATCAATACCAATCAAATGTTTTGACTTTTTCCTTTTTTTTTCTGAAGTCAAACAGCATTTGCTATTTTTTTTTTTACAGTTCTTATATTTATATATATATGTACATATTAATTCAACTAACTACAGTTCTCATAGAAAATGAGGAAAACTTAACTTTTATCGCTCTCACACCACTGACAAGCAGACAAACCCCGCCGCTCTCCATCCTCATCTTTTAGCCAGTGTTATCACAGCACAGACAGGATTTATGTGCCGAGTGCAAAAAAAAAAACTCCTTCAAGCGTTTGTTTGAATGGGATTGTTCAATTTAGATTTTCCAGCAATACTTTTATGGAATCACTTTTTAGTAAGACGCCAACTTCAACACAAAGCTTTTTTTTTTTTTTTTTTTTTTTACAATTATGTCAAAAAAGGATGAGGTTTAAAGCAATCGAATAGATAACGTCAAACCTAGAGTTTAATTTTTAACTTTTTTTTAGCTCATAGGCAGTAAACTAATTGATCAAGGTTGGGTTTGGTACTTCAAAATAGAAAAAGAGGCAAACATACACCTATTTATCCTGATCACCCAGAGGTGAGTCTAAAAGATGAGTTCCTGTTTGGAGAGAAGGAGGAGGAAAGAAGCAGAGGAAAGGCCGGTAGATGTGAAGGAAACTACCTCTCCTCTTTTTCATTAAGAAACGCTCAAGTGCAAAATATCCTGTCTTGAAAGGGACAAAAACAAACCCTAAACTCCACTTTTGCGTTTCCCATTAAAATAGCCTGTCCCCCATCATCACACGCAGTGCACATTTTGTCAAAGTCCAACCTAAATCGCCCCTGATTCTAACTGCAACCAGGAGTGACAAGAAGAAAATGAGAGCATAAAGACAGCCATGTGAAAAATGAAAAGGACTTAAAGATGCTCTAAAGCAATCACGTAACTGGGGAAAAAGCAGAACTTACCCTAATCTACTTAAAATCTTTAAAGGGAGTCACATTTAGGGGATGGTTTTTAGGGTATAAGCCTTCAGCCTTCCCTTCTGTTGAGTCTTTCTTTGGAAGTCTGAAACCCAGATTGGGGGTTTGGGTCTGCTGGTGATGTAAAGCTCACTACAATCACCTGCTAAAAGTGTTCAGTACTTCTAGCAAAGCAACTTTTAGAGTCCATGTCAAAAACACGTGGAACAAACTGGGACTCCGAGTGGTTTGTAAGGTTGTAAACACTCACTAAACCCTCTGTGCACAAATTCTAACAGAGAAAAAATGAAAACAAATTCTGGAAGTGTCGCAGTCTACAGGCGGCGTTTACAAACTTGTCCCTGCTGGGTAAACCTGGGGCTTAGCATCTCTGCCACTCTGCTTCAACAGTGTAGTATCTTTAAAGAAATGTATCTGCTCGATGGTGTTTGTATGCGTCTATGGCTTCTGCCTGTGTGTCAATAGTGCTTGCCTATGTGCATCAATTCAAGGGCAATACGTTGTGTAAATATCTGCATATGTATGTGCGTGTATGTCTGTTCGTCTGGGGCTCAGGACGACATGCACTGGACGTGGTCGGGACCTCCGTCCTCTTCCTCTGAGGAATCTGGGGAGCTCCAGGACTCGTCTGTGTCTGCGTCTGCTCCTTCACGGCGAGCCTGGATGGAGAGAGGAGGGCAGGCGTCACAGGGATTAGATTTACTAAAAAACTAACTACATAAATAAGCTTTTGAGAAAAGTTTATCTGAATCAAATTATGGTAAAAACAGATTTTTATCTAGACAAGTCATTTTCAAACCATAACTCTTGTTAAATCAGTATTGTTGCTTTTAAAAACATGTTTTTGGTATTTAAGTTTATGAAGATTGAAAGGTGCATTAGAATGATTTTTTTTTTTGCATTTAAAGTAGGGCTGCAACTTACAATTATTTGGCAAATCGATTAATCTGTTGAGTATTTTTTCAATTAATCGATTTATAATGGGATAGCCAAAGGTCCCTTAGAGAATACTTTTAACGAAATCAAACCTGGTGAAACTAAAACTTTTCCACTTCAAGAGTTCTGGATAGAGGATATTGACAGATGAAAAACATTTTTATTCTTACATGAAAATGTTGACATTTTCTTTTTTTTTTCAATATTTATTACTTATTACTGCTTTAAGTGGGTTGCTCTGTCAGCTAATCCTACATTTTACAGTATCTACACTCCATTTAACCATTAATCGATTACTAAATTGACGAGTATTATAATCGCTTAATCGAACAATCCGATTAATTTTTTTCAGCCTTAATTTAAATGCCAGTAGCTGACTCTGGTTGCATTCAAAGTTTAACAGAAACATCACCATATTCTGCTGGCAAATTATTTGTTATTTTTTAGTTTTATGCTTTGTTTTGCTCAGTTTTTAATAAATAAAGCCCTTCCTGTATGTTAACAATAACAAGGGCAGCGTGATGTTGCACAAGTGCTCAGGGGGTTCACAGGTCAGTGCTGCAGCTAAGCTAGCCAGCACCTCACAGCAAAGTGTGAAAATAATCAAGAAACTTCCAAGATCCAGAGGGAAAATGGGGAAAAAAAAAACAAAACAAAAAAAAACAGATTCTACCAGGAATAAGACTCAAATAGCACTCAGGATAGGGAGGCATCCAGATGTGGCTGCAAAGCTGATGAATGCAGGAGTAAACATTTCAATGCTGATACTAGTGATAGCAAAGCTATTTTTCCTTTGATGTTCTGATAGGAGGCTCTGGGGAGGATTTATCCGAACTCACTCAGAGCTCACAATGAACGCAGTGCAGCACCACGAGGAAGCCAAATCATTAAAATCAGTGTTCACACTTGCATCAGCAATGGTCCATTGTGGGCATTGTTACAGAAAGAAGAGGGCTAAACAGAAACAGATGGGCTGTCCACCAATGAGAGGGATATTTACACGCACAATAACATAAGTTTTCACTGTCAATTCCCAGAAAGAGTGTGAACCCACCTGAACCTTTTTACTCTCAAATGCAATTTCTGCAGCTGGAGCGCATCAGGGACAGCCTGGTCGCAGCGCTCATTAGGAGTGACTGTCTGCAGCACACCTGCTGCACCGCATTCAGTGCGAGTCCATGTTAAGAACCTCTTTAGATCGGTTAGCCTTTCCTCATGCGTAGCTGTCACTTTACCACCAAGTCTGGCTCTATTTAGTAGTCACTAATATCTGTTAAGATAGGTATGTGGTGCTGCCAGCAGATGGTGCACACGTCTGTTAAAGTCAGCAAATAGTGCCCTGTGCTGACACTCTAAACACCATCAGGATGGATTCTTGGTTTATATATCTTTATTATGACCAAATGGTTTTACGTGTGCACCATCTACTGAAGCATCCTCTGAGAACATTGTCCGGATTTTGAAATAGAAGGCGTAGAAATGGCAATTTGTTTAAAAAGACTTCTAAGTTTTCCAAAGTATTTATTTTCATTTTCTTTCCATAAAGCAAAAAGGAGTCCCCGATATTGTAAAAGATGAACAAAGCTACTGATCATATGAGCAACAAATAAAACTGCATCTAATGGAGGCTAACTATTGTTAATCTGGATCAAGGTAGCAAACAATACTTTTTTTTTGTCATGATTGCATGATTTTTTTATGTTTAGCAGGAAAAAAAGCTTGTAGTGCCTTATTACTTGCTAATAAACTGTATTTAAGGTAATGTGCTGGCAATGGGCTTTAAATATTCAGGCTTTCCTGCTCATACATTTGATAAAAACATGCTTAAGATTTTCACCTTTTTCATATACCGTATTTTCACGACCATAAGATGCACCGTACTAAAAGGCGCAGTCTCAGTTATGTGTGCCATTATTACTGTATTTAACACACACATAAGGCGCACCGGACTATAGGGCGCGGGTTTTATGTACAGGTGCATGTCCTCTACTACGTTTAAATAACTCTACTGTGTATTTGAAAATAGAGCGAGAGCAAAGCTGGGTATGTTTGTAATAAATACATGAATAAAGCACAAAGTATTAATCAAACCGGTTCACACCGATGTCGAGCGGTTGAATTTCTTTGTCAGACCCCCCGGGATAACAGCAAGCACAGCGTTCATTTGTTTTACCTTTTTTTTCACATCGGCTGTGAGATGGGCACTCAATGAGGAGATGAGGAGTTCTGCATAAAGCACATACCTGTTCTTTTATACACAATCCACGCCCACACTTCCCCCTTTAACGTTCTCATGGTGGTCTCAACAACGTCCGTAGAAACAACACACATAGGGCGCACTGCACATTTTGAGGGAAAAAAAAGATGTTTATATACGCCTTATAGTCGTGAAAATACGGTAATAATTCCACTCACCCACTTCTGTAACTGTAAAAGACATTGAGCCTTAAAAATAAAACTGACTTGATGCAGAAAACCATTTACCCTGTGATCTGTGCTGATGAGGTAAAATCTCTCACTATTTCCATCAGGTAACTTTGTGCTTCACTTTGTTGCCATTTGTCGGAGTTTAGTTTTCTCTGAGGCTTTTTTTCGTAGGCAGGGTGATCTTAGTGGTCACCTCAATTGTGGGCTGAACCTTATCTTAACCTCTACAGTCGTAGTTAAGTTTGTCAGTGGGAGCCGTTTTAGAAGCAACTGAAATAACAAGCAATGGAGGGATTCAGTACTTTCGCTTTTCACTTAAAACTAAATATACAATCCAACATGCGAGGAGGGGGGTGGGGGTGGGGGGTGGGGGTGGGATAAGATGCTGCAGCTACTTAAAACCCGAGCCCCCTCTCCGACAAGGCATGAGTTAAAATAAATAAATAAAACACTTGTGCATCAGGAATGACATTGCAGAAAACTTAAATGGTTTTGAAACGATGACCTTCATGCTGTGTTATGCCCGTTACAGCATTAACCAGCCCTAATAGAGAAGTTTCACTATTTGGCTCACCCTAGCAGGTCGTCTGTTTCTCATGTGTCTCATCAGGAACCACAGCAGCTGGGTGTCATACTGGTCGCCATGACGCACGCTGTCTTCATCACGCTCCCGCTTGTTTTTCTTCATTACCTTCAAGAACACAAGAAATTATTTTTTCAGTTAAGACAAAGATCGAGATAAAGAAAATGCACATTTTTTTTTATGCAAACATCTAACATATAAAAATTGTCAGTTGGTTGGCAATAAGGGAGAGGAATAAAATTAAATCTATATAATGTCAAAATATTTGTGCTACAGATTTTTGACAGATACAACACTTTAAGTAAAAGCTACCATATAAAGCTGTAATTACCTATTTAATACCTTTAACTAAAATTATTGAAAACATTCCTTAATTTTCCATAATAGAGGGTTTTCATCCCCGTGTTAACAACAATTTTATTGTCAAAAACAGGCATAAGTAGAAACTTAAACCCATTTAAAAGGATTCTTTAAGATCCATACCCAGAATGAACTTTTGTATTACAAATATTTAACCCAGTAAAGTGATTAGATACCAGAAGCAAAACCTCACTTTTTTCTTACCTACAACACACTCACCATTTTAGCAAACCTGGTAATGATGATGCCCTATTTTTTTTCCCCAAATTTCCTAATAAACCGTGTTTCCTTTCAACTGAAATGCTAATTTTCTTTTGAAAGCTTAAAAAAAAAGGAAAAGTGAGTTTGTGGTGTTTCCATTTGGTTTAAAACCAATTAATGAAGCGCCACAAAGCGTATCATCATCGTACGTCGCCGAAAACATTACATCATCACTGTAATAAACAGGAAGTAGAAGCTCCAATCTAGGACTGACCACAGACCAGTAATGGAGGAGAGTTTTATTGATTGAGTTTTTTTTTTCTTCCCAGTGTTTTATTATCATTACACTGTCACAAGTACAGAGCAACGAAATGAACTCTGCTTTTTAACCCATCCTCTTGGGGAGCAGTGTGGGGCTAAGGGTCTTTGCTCAGGGACCCAAAATGGTAGTCTGTGGGAGTGGGGCTTGAACTCACAACCTCTGGATTACAAAGGCAATGCTGTAACCACTAGTTGCAGCTCCCCGCGAGTCGCTATGGGGCAAGTTGTTCTTACTTTAACATTTAAACTAATAATGGTGATGTTGCTTCCAGCCAATAATCCAGGAAGAAGCCGACGGCAGAAATAGCTGTTCAGTTATGTCAGGTTAAAGTTTGCTATGTCAGCACCGATTAGAAAAAAGTGTTTCTATTTCCTGTTTGCACCTTAAGCCAAAATCCACCTCAAGCAAGTTTAAAAACTTTTTTTTTTACGAATTTGAGGAAGATTTTTCTAATTTTGATGTTTCTGTCAAGATTTTCTGAGGCGAAACTTCATGAAGCTCATTAGAAAAAGCTGATGGAAACGCACCAATAGGAGCACATTTTATTTCAAGATAATGACGTTTAACGAAAACATGTAATTACAATCTTATTGTTTAAGAGTCTGATATGGAAAAGTGTATTTATACCCAAGGGGCACTGAAGGAAACTAGGAGCTCTACAATAGAAAATAAACATCTTAAGAAATCCTGACTGTCGATTGTAAGAGCAGTGAACATAAAACTTAAACTTGACCAAACTTTAAACTGGATCAAGGTTAGATGATAATCCAGGTTTATCTTTCCATCACACACATCATCTCCAGACTATAGAGAAGAGTTGTGTGTTTAAAGATGTTTGTGTCAAGGTGTTTAACCAGGTGAAATAAAGAGGAACTGTATCTAAAATATGAAGAGTTACAGGAGTTTGATACACCCTCTTTAAAAAAAAGCATAGCAAGCTCTAATATTAGACCCTCTTTGCTGTAAAGTGCATGGTTTTCTCTTTAAATCAGAGTAAGTTCACTAGTTGATCACTAGATGGAGGAAAATAGCAGGAATCAGTACCTCTTTCAGGCCCTTGAGTGCAGTGGGGTTCTCAGCTGTAGGAGCCCAAAGTTTGATATCATGGTCCAACCCACTGGTGGCCATTCCTGGCAGGTGAGGGTGTGGCTCCAGACAATTTACCTTGATTAAAAAAAAAAACAAAAAAAAAAACAGTCAATCAACATAAAAACTAAAAGGTTTTTCAAATTTCAACAGAATTCAGTTAACCAAGTTTTTGAACAAAATCACAAATGTTAATGCTAGTTTTGTAGCTGGGAGCCAATTCCACCTAAAAAAAAAAATAAATCTGTTACAGTTTGTCATTTAAACTCACCACTCCTCCTCGATCTCCCTCCATAAACTGGACAATCCGAGCAGAATGTTTGTCCCACAGGTAAATATGACCGCAGTCACTGCCGCTGACCACAAACTCACTGCAGGGCCCGTAGAAGTTCACGCCTTTAACTGTAACATACAAGGCATGACGAGTCAAGATGATCTTGAAAGAAAAAAAATAAATAAATAAATAAAATATTTTAATTATTTTTTTTACTTGTTGCTAGTTTCTGTAAACGAAAAAGTGTAACCACTTAATTATTTTACAAAAACTACACCCTTATAAAAATAAGAAACACAACCCTAATGATAGTTTAGGTCAATTACTTGATATCCAATTTGTTTTGTTTACCTCAAATAATAGATTTTCAACCTTTTTTTCCCCAAACTGTAAAACTTTAAAGTACACAGATATAGCCTAGTAAAATAGCCCCAGCAGCCAAAATCATTTTTGCCTGCGAGTTAGATTACAACTTTAATATCACATTTACAATATATATATATATATATATATATATATATATATATATATATATATATATATATATATATATTACAACTTTAATATCACATTTACAATATATATATATATATATATATATATATATATATATATATTACAACTTTAATATCACATTTACAATATATATATATATATATATATATATATATATATTACAACTTTAATATCACATTTACAATATATATATATATATATATATATATATATATATATTTATTTATATATTAATAACATTTAATGTGTTTAACAATTAAATTAGAATCAATAATGTAATGATAATAATGATTCATAAAACCATCTGAATCAATGACTTCCCCCTGAGACTAGCCAGTTTGAGATCGACAGTCTTGTGTGTTTAGGGTCAGACTGAAGAAAGGACGACAATACAAATGACTTTACTGCAGTATTAATAGAGTGACAGATGGGCATGTAAAACCAAAAAGGATTGTCCTGTTTGGCCGCTGGTTGGAAGTCCTGTTACCGTTGACCTCAGCGCCACAGAGCTGCTTTTCCCACAGTGCAAACACCTATTTTTCCTTTTCTCTGCTCGGTTGGCCTGCTTAGTAACAGTAGTATAGCTACCGATATGACTGTTAACAGCAGATATCTTAAAGCCTGGCAGAGAAAAGAAAAAGCCTCTATAGCGGATAAGGAGGTGCACAGTAGAGGATGACATTTATTAGGGATTGCCAAAATTTCAATAAATCATTCCTTTGCATGAGGTGCACCTCTGCTAAAAACGTAATTAAAATCTGATTATAACCTTCCAAGCAATCCAGCTAAATGGGATAAGTTTAATGTAGGGAAAATGGGGGGCTGCAGGGTAAGGGGTGCTTTTATTTGCCTTTATTTTCAGATACAGCAATAAGCAGAGGTGAGTAGAGTGGGCAAACTTTTTTAGTTAGAGTAGAAATACTTAGTTTTACTCAAGTAAAAGTAGTCATCCAAGAAAATGGTCTAGAGATTTAAACTGTTTGGTAAAAATGCTGCTCGGGCTCGCCTACTAAATGTGTGCATTTGATGATTTAAATGAGATAGTCAGACTAATCATATAAGATTATGTGAAATTCTAGAATTTTAATGACATGAAAAAGAAAAAGTAAAAATACTGTGATTTAGAGAAAAAAAACTCTGGTTTAGGACTTGAATTTTGTCCCTGTGTGAGAGGGATGGGACAGAAAACAAAATCCACTCCAATATCATCCCGCACTGCGGCTCCAGCTGGTCATGCTGTTCATCTTCAAAATGCTACGTGTCAACCACGTATGCGACGAGCAAAATTAAATACTGCAAGTTAACCTCTTACACCCTAAGGGGGTATAAATAAATTTCTGCCTGACAAAAACACACAAAAGTAAATAACTTATAGCCTCAAAGCTATTAGATTTAAGAAGAAACTTTTGGTACGTCTGTAAAGGTAAGATGTCATAGAATGGTTTTCTGGTGTCAGCACCATTGTAGCTTTGACCCTGCCTGAAATATTAGGGACAAAATACAAAATATTTTGCATTTTTTGAACCTCACCAAAATTTTCTTTGAAATAAACATTGCAAAACACTACCAAAATATTATTTATAGCACAAAAAAGTAGTACAGACTTTCAAATCTAAATGTTGTGTAAAAATATACAAAATGTGGACTCAATCAGATGAATCATATTTATTTTAGAATGGTATTAGTGAGAAATTTCTTAGGCAGAGAGGCCATTTTGGCACATTTATCCATAAATGTCACCAAACTGTGCCAAATATGTTTTTTACATCAATACTGGGGGTTTGGTAGAATTACAAGGTCATGTAGCAGCTGGACCCGCCGGTGGGTCCGTAGGGTTCAAGGGGTTAAAATGTGTGGCTAGAGATAGAGAAACCCCTCCACAAAAGTGGAGCAACCCTTTTAAATATTTTTGAATTTTAGCCAAATAAAGCTGTACTAATGATGTCATAGAGTGACCAAATTATAGATGGTGTAGAAGAAAATAATCTGTTTCTAAGGAAGTTTCTCATAAAGTCAATGCAGGTTTAAAAATACAGCAGCTTTTTTATCTGCTCTTCATTTAACAGGTTAGAAGTTATTTTTAATGCAAAACAGGAAACAATTTAGTTTGACACCAGAGATAAAAAAGGAACATATTAGCACTGTAACCTTTTGTTAACATACATATTTACACGCCAATATTTCTACTTTAAATGTCAACCCAGCAGTTGAAAGCGAGCCAGTCTGCGCAAAACTAGCAGTTTCCCCAGTCCAGCCTTGATGATCACTGCGTTTTATTTTTAGATCTGTTATCATTCAAAAGTGATGCGAATTATTCACTTCTAAATGGAAAGGGGAACAATAATTGTTCTATAGACGTAAAAAAATAATATCTAAAATGTATCAAAAGGCACTCCAAATAAATATGTACGTCTGCTTATAAATAAATTGTTATAAAAACATTTAAATATTTAGCGGATCAAGACGGGATTTCAACAAGTGTGTTTTGACAGATCTACATTAAACAGCTCTACAGTGACAAATGATTTAATTATTAATCAAGCGTCAATATATCAACATATAAAAATATGGCAAAATTTCGTGAATTTTTGGGGAATTTCGTAGCATAATTATGACATATAGCAATATTTCATTAGTAAAAGAGATTGATATGGTGTTTTTAAATGGCAATATATCAGCATATGAAGATATTGGGATATTTTAATGTATCAATATTTTTTCCCTTGTCTTTAGAAGTTTTTAAGTCTGTAAAAAAGAAGTTTTTTAAGAAGAAGTAGTATTTTATTTTATTTTTTTAGCCTTTAGAAACCCAGAAGCTGATCAAATATCGGGTTAAAAATCGGTGGGGTGGCCGATGTCCGATATTCAGTTTTAAGGCCGATACAGGCCGATACCGATATGGGGCCGATTATATCGTGCATCCCTAATATTTTTAATCAGTCAAGAATCAAAAGTTAATTCTCTGCAGTAAGGTCTGTAACAGAAATTTATGAACTTATTTAAATTAATTTTTAAACACCGTTCTAAAACTAAAAAAGGCTAATTATGAGCGCTTGTCCCAAAAAATGCTGAAGATTGATGTTGAAAGTGTGACTGTTAAATTAAGTGTGTTTATTGGAGAGACTTCTAATCCTACAGGCTGATCAGGGCTGGCTGAGAAAAAAACTAAACATTGACTACCCGATGTATCCCTAAAATGAAAGTTCTGCTTTATTTGCTAAATTAAATACCTGTGGCGTTGTTGCGGTGTCCCTTATATCTCCTGCGGTAGTCTGCCCCGTCGCTGTGGTTTGAGTCAAACAGGTAGATGTCTTCATCGTTGTAACTTGCCAGGAGTTCTGAGAAAATTAAAAAATAATTTAACTGTAGCAACACTTTCTACAGGTTACATTTCCAGACTTTTCCAAAGTCGAAAGTTAGGAGTTTATCCTTTTTTCCTCATTTAATAATAACAATTCACAGAGATTTAAGGGCGGATATTTTTTCATTGTGCGGGATTTAAATGTTGCTATTTCATCCTTAAAAAAACAAAAAAAAAAACATGCGGGAACCCAGGCAGGACTAGAACGGATAAGAAGTAAGTTACAAAGAAACTAATTATATAAAGGAGGCAGGACATTTTTATTGTAGGAAAAAAAGGGTAGATAGAAAGAAAAAGAGAGAAAGGTTATAATACAGTAATAAAGACACTTTTTGGAAAACTTTAGACCTGTTAAACTTGAGTTAGAATTTTCATTTTTCCTGTTGGTTCTGGAATGTTGCGTTTTAAAAATTCCCATAAAAGTCCTGATCAGTTGAACTTTTGACTATTGCTCAATAAGCTCAACCAAAAAGCTGATAAACTTATGCTGCTGACGCCAAATCTAATCTGAAAGCTGCTCTGCAAACACAAACACTTGTAAGTATTTTAAACAATTTCTTTCAGACACACACTACTGGTAAAAGAAAAAAAAACAACCTATTTTTTTCCCAACATTTTTTTGCAATATCGGTTGTTTAAGTCAAATCAATCGTTTGAAATCATACAAAGGTTAGGGTTAAACTGCATGAGGTTTGACTATTATACAGCAGAAAGTAGAATGTTGGAAGAAAAATGTAAAGAAAATGCCGCTAATGATGGAAAAGATTCAGACCATCACAAAAAACTTTAATGATGTGGTCTTTCTTATCAAGACTTGTGACATGTGTTATTAAGCTTGTTAGCAGCTGCAGTAAGCACATCTCAGTTTTATCTGAAGAGAAGAACTTCTGCTGCACATTTGACAGAATGAGTTGTAACAAAAAAATAAACTTATCTAAGATAACAGAATAAGACCATGAAACACCATAATTGCACAACTGATGACTTTAAGAGTCACACCGACTAATTGATCTAAATGCAAAATCTTAATTCATGGCATAGGATCTTCTTGTGGCTGTTGGACATGTGAAGGGTTTATTTCACCTGTTCCACCTATGATTTATCTGAGGCTGTTTTGCTGGATCCAGGGTTGGTGACTGGAAAAAGTGAGAAGAACCATGTAACAGATGGGCTACCACAGCATTCTGCAGGACCATGTTGGCCAGAACTTCCGTTTTACAGCAATATAATGACCTAGAGCATAAGTCCAAGCTATGCTAGAGATACCTGCGTAAAACTGAACAAGATGATTAGCTTGAAAACATGGAGTGACTAATGCTACGTTCAGACCGCATGTAGCAGGAGCAGCACAAACACGTGCTTCTTCATTTTTGATGCTTGTACAAGTTTAGTTCTGACGCACGGCTGAAGCATCTTTGCTGCTCTAGCTGGGCGGTCGAAAAGTGGGTCTGATGCGCGGTGGGTGGAGCTGCCCTATCCTTTCTTTGCCTGTAACAATGGCAGCTATATCTGCTGCTATACGTGGGTAAAAAGCAGTTTTAATTTTAAGTGAGAAAGTCCACCTGAAAACTTCCTCTGTGCAGCCAGTTCATCAAAATTACGATCCTGCCTTTAAATTTTATTTCGCCGTCGGAGCTGCTCAGACCCCCGTAAACCGGCGGTGCGCTGTCACTGGGAATCTCGTTCGACGGCAGCCTCTGGCCCAGTCGCCTCTTCACGGTTTTCTGCTACTGTTTGCGGCAGCTTAAGGGCGTTTTTTCACGTACATAATCCGAACTGCAAGCACCACAATAATAAAAATCAAACATAAATTGCCAGTAGGTTTCGAAATTTATGGATACTTCTGCAGATTTGGCAGGAACTTTATGAAGAATATTCAATTTCTCAAATCCCAATTGCATGTAGTTTAAGAGTGGGTAGCACTGCTGCAAGAAAGTTCAGGTTTGATCCCCAGCCCGGGAACTGGGTCTCTGATTGGAGTTTGCATGTTCTGCCAGTGCATCTGTGGGTTCTACTCCTGCTTCCTCCCACAGTCCAAAAACATGACTGTTAGGATAACTGGCTTCTGTAAATTCTCCTAAGGGCTGATTTATACTCAGAAACCAGGTCGTCTGCATGTGTGAGAGGATCAATGAATGCAAATGTGCCCCCACCCCCTTCCACAGACACTGTGATGCACATCTCCAAAATTGTAGGTGACCGCAGACAGTGCCGCAGAAAGGAGGCCTCTGATTGGTCAAATCTACAACTGCTCTACACTATGCGTATTTCCTCTTTAGTACCTTACTAGCTTGATTGGTTTGTATGACCGCCATTGAGGAAAACAATTCGTGAAGATGGACCAGCTAGAAGAGCGAGGTGTGCGAGAACGCTGGGACCCTTTTTCCACCTGGATCCCCGCTTTTTTTCGCCCTCATGTCCCTCCGTTGGCGTACAAACTTACCCCCACTTTCTCACTGCGTCGGCCATATCTAGATCCACAGCTAGTTCCTGGTTGTCCCTCTTGCATTGTGGAATAGAATACCATAGCGCAGAGCACACTTCAATATTGGGCATAAATCAAAAATGTCTGTGACAAGCTCATTGCGAAACACGGCTGTGGGAGCATAACCAGCCCTTTAGGTGTAAGTGTGCATGAATGGTTGTTTGTCCTGTTTGTCTCTGTGTTGCCCTGCGATGGACTGACAACCTGTCTAGGGTGTACCCCGCCTCTCACCCATAGACAGTTGAAGATAGACACCAGCAACCCTCATGACCCCAGCAGGGATAAGCTTGACGGAAAATGGACGGATGGATGAATAAACTAATTCATAGTGTAATGAGAAACAACAGGAAGAATTTGGCTCTTTTGGCCAAAGGTGTAAATGTCTGAGTGTGCAAAGACATAAAATATGCCAATAAGATCACATTTATCCAATAGAGATGTTGCTTTTACCTGTTCCATCGTGGCTGTACACAAGACAAGTTATGTTGGTTTTAGACTCGCTGGATACCAGGTGTGAAGGACAAAACTTTTTCAGAACGCCATTGTTTTCATTTTCATTGATTTTCCTCTGGTCGTAGATTCTTTAAGAAAAAAAAAAGAAAAGTCAGGAGATGAACCAAGGAGGAGTAAATCATAAAACTGTCTTTCAGATCAAATATCTCATCAATTTGAGAAATCTTTTTTTTTTATCCAGAAGGACAACCAACAGCGGAGCTCCGCTCAGCTCATACCTTACATATTGATCTCTGCCACCAACAGCAAACTGCTGGGTCTTTGCTGGGTTGACAAAGATGGTATACAGTCCCACTTTCTTATCGCCCTCCTTTACCACCACAAGTTTACTGCCACACAAGACATGAGACAAAGTCATTACAGCATCAGCAAGTTTACACTTTTGTGTAAAGTACGTAAAGTACTTTAAAGAGCAATGCAAATACAGACCATTTACTATGTACATCTAGACAGAGTTTAGTGACCTTTGTGCTACCAAAGGTAGTGTTTAAGTTGCAGCATTTTACTGCATTGCATCTAAATTGTAAAAGATCAAGAAGCAATGACTTACTTGGCAGGACGGTCTAGACGCAGGTCGATACCATACACCACGGCGTCCTCGCCAGCTGACAGAAATGAACAAGGCGAGTCTGGCTCTAGCGCCAGCTGATAAGATAAATGAAACAACAGAAGTCAAGACATAACAGTTGGCATGTTATCTCCAAAGTATTTCACATTTTGGTCCAATAAACTCACCTTATGTGCTGCTCCTTTATGCTGTGCTACCCGCTTTGTGTTCTTGCAGCGCTGCGTGGCGGAGAGCTCCGCAACTCTGATCTGTCCGTCACGAGCGCACATGGCCAAGGTGGAGTCGCCGCTGTGGGGCAGGAACTTTGCCTGTAGAAACCCAAAGGCAAGAAGCAGACTTTAGTCACATCAAGTTTTTTTGTTTTTTCTTTATTAATCTTTTACTTATTTTGATCCTAATTTACTAATCCTACATGTAATGAGAACTGTAATCAGTTAATATAAAATTTAATCATAAAGAGACAGTATGTATTGATGGATGGATGGATGGAGACAAAAAGAGAATTGATGAAAGTAGAGAAATAGACAAAAAGAAATGGAAAATACAGGTCGATGTTTCAAAGATAGATTGGTTTTCCCCCCAACTCACCTGGAAGACATTACTCTTGTGTCCACTGTCAAATTCCAGCTCTGCTCGGCGGACGGCCCAGTCCCAGATCACCACTCGTAGGTCATCGCTGCCTGATGCCAGGCGCGTACCAGATGGGTTGAAGTGCAATGTGTTGACGCAGCCAGTGTGCCTCTCCAGGCGTCCCTGGAGCTCCAGCCGCTGCACCAGGCCCCGGGCTCCACACACACGGCGGACAAACTGGTGCGAGTTCTTGCCGATCTCTCTAGAGCGAAGAGAGGGCACCGCCTGCCATATGGGGCCACGGAGGTCATGGAGCTCTGCGCCCAGCCATGACTCCATAGCTTCGTCATCCTCCTCCTCGTCATCATCGTCATCCTCCTCTTCCTCCTTTTGCTCATCATCATCGTCATCATCATCTGAGCTGGAAGAGTGATTAGTACCACCTCCGGGTCTGATTCTCTTTCTAGCTGCTCTTTTCACTCTGTCCTTGTCTTTGGCCCTTTCTCGCCTGCCTCCCTCACTCTCCCTCTCTCCATCCTCTGTCAAAGAAAACAGTCCACTCCCATCCATGCTGTCTGTATCTTCTTCCTCCTCTCCTTCTTTGTTTCCACCCGTCTCTCCTTCTGCCTCTGGCATGGCTTTGTCTCCAGAAACCTCAGCTATTTCTTTGGGAGCTGCAGAAAAAGAAAACCAAGATATGAAGGAAACCCAAACTTATTGGGAGATTTGGGAAAGAAAAATCCATGCAAACAAAGAAAGTTTGATATTAATAGCATAAAGGGGGAGTAAAGCCAGAAAATATCTACACAGATTTGCAGGGAAAGCTAATTCCTTTAAAAACCAGTGGCTATCCTGTATAACAACTGAGTTGCAAGTCAAGAATTACAAATGTAGAAACAATTAGGAAAAAAAACATGCTGCCACTGAATTAAATCAAAGAAATGGCAAAATAAGACCTGGGCTGAATTTAAATTAGAAGTTTGGTTGAAAATTCAGCACATATTCAACATTTTATAACAGCCTAAATTTATGATTCACTAAAGCAAGAGTTTAGGCTTTTTTTGCATTCGAAATTGATATTAGGTAGTTAATCAGTAAGTAGAGACTGCAGTTAGTTGTTTCAAAGACCTACTTCTTGCAATTTACCAAAAATAGTTTCAGAATAGCGTTGCATTAATAAAAATGGATGGGGGCACAACTGTAGTTTCCAGACAACGACTGTCCGAGTAATTTAAGACCAAAAACAGCCAAATTTCACTATCCTGTACATGTAGCAGCCTTCTTTCAGCCAGCTGACCAACAGTGTGTAGTACCAGTGATGCACTTTACAGTAATGACATCATCTCTTTTCAACTTCTGGTGCTCTCTGTAAACCTCAGCCTCTGGAACACGCTCTTCCTTCTTATGTTTTGGGGCATCTGCTGCTATGAGACTCCATACAACAGACTCAAAACATTGCCGCCGTGTAAAGAATGATGTCCATAGGTTGTAATTAAATTGTAAATTAATACTGCAAGAAGAACAAATGAAGAAACAATTTTTCACATGCATAGTTGCAATTGGGCTTGATTACGGAAGACGGAATAAAAAAAAGGGCATAAAGTAGGTTAAAAAAGATAATAAGATGAGGTATTAAGGCTACAAAGGTGTTGTTACCATCTTCAGGGGAAGACTGTGACTGGCCATCTTTACTTCCAGAGGCATCCTCCTCTTTGAGCTGATCTTCTGCAGACTGGTTTTCATCTGATCCACCTAATAAACACAAACATTTTCTCTTAAAAACCTGCAGGTGGAAGAAACAGAACATATGATAAAACGCAGAGAAGTGTGTATTTTCCATCTCTCATGCTGTACCGTTGAGCATAGGGGATTTTCCATCAGCTTCAGCCATTTTTTTATTTTCTTTTTAATGTCCTGCGTCGTCCTTAGGCAGAAACTGTAAAGAGTCAGAAAGGAAAAGCAGAATTTAATCAGGTTTTATCGGTTACCAGGACACCTGGACGTTAAATAAAAAAAGAGCAGACACAAATGAGTTGATCTTGGTTGACGGTTAGTCGTTTAGCTTTGAAATGTACCATCAGGCTACTTTAAAATGGTTACATTGCTGCATCAAATATATGAAAACTGACTTCTCAGTCCGACTCAGAGGCCCAACTGTTTGCTTTGTGTTTCTCCAAATAACTGCGACTGTTCTCCAACATGACAGCCGGATCATCCGAGTAAAAGCTCCGTAAAATGTAAAAGCCGAGCAAATATCAAAGCTAAAATTGGACATTTAAGTTACAGTCAACACGTTAGTTACCCAAACACGGAGACTTCTACCTGCTAACTTAGCATTGCTAGCATTACCTCTACTCGGAGGCCCGACGAGGCGCACTTCTTAGTTTAGTCCTAATCTTTATTGCAGATTTGATTCCTCCACCTCTCTGCTCGGTAAACCAGCTAAGTGCCTTGGCTGGGAGTTTCCTCACAGCAAACACACCACATTAGGAGGGCATGCATTAAGCTATGTTTGTTGCTTAGGAAACAGTCTGACAACAATACGAGCTAGCTGCGTTCACACAAGGTTGTCTTCTGCTCTGTTTATGTTTTGACGGTCCAGCTTTTTTTTTTTTTTTTTTTTCTGCGCAGCTCCATTTCCGGTGTCGTCCCTGCCTCCTCTATTTATATATATTTTTTTTAAACCGGAAGTTTCTAACTTGTTTTTATAAAGTCATGTAATCTTTATAATAGTTATAATAATCATCTATATTTTCCATTAACAGGAATAGTGTGAGCACTTACTACTATTAGCAGCGGTTATACACACACACACACACACACACACCCACACACACACACAGACACACACACACACACACACACATACACATATATATATATATATATATATATATATATATATATATATATATATATATATATATATATATATATATATATATATATATATATATATATATATATATATATATATATATATATATATATATATATATATACATGTATATATTAGGGGTGGAATGGTTAACAAAATCCACGGTTCAGTTCAGTTCATGGTTTCGTGGTCACGGTTTTCTGTTCGGTTTGGTATATGTTTATTGTTACACCGAAAAATAAAAAAAATTATAAAAATTATAAAAATTTATCAATTTTTTTTTAAATGAAATTAATGAAAAAACCCAAAAACATTTATGAATTGTAAATATTTTTAATGATTCGCGGAAACCATGGATCATTTCCGCATATTTTGCTGCTTTGAATTTAATCATCTCGCACATGCCCTCTACGATCTCCAAGGAACTCAGAGCGGAGCGGACGGGAGCCACAGTGGAGGCTGTAGGCTTTGCTGTGTGCAGGTGGTCTGGAGCGCAGCAGGGCGGAGCGCTGATGGAGTATGTGGGATTTCGGGGTTAGCATGACATGTTGGTCATGTTGCTGTTAGCATAAACAAAACATGTTGAACAATGCTTGCACACTGTTGCAATTTTATCCACAACTTTCTTTCCACCATCATTGTAGGTCACTCTAAATGCAAAGTGGTCCCATACAGCAGACCTATAAAGTGCTGCTGGCACGTCTTCCAACTCTTGTTCTTTCCCACTCGCCATACCCACACAATTCTCCACAACAACTGATTTTTTCCTGCTACACCCGGCTACGCTGCTTCGCTTCTTCTTCTTGTTTACTGCTGGTGGTTGGCTTTGGTCGCAGCACTGCCACCTTCTGCTGGAGTGTAAACGCTTCGCCTATTAGAAAATGGAGCAGCGCATGAACCGAACGCAACACACGCGAACCGAACCGAGACAGTCGAACCGAACGATTCGGACGGTTTTCATAAACCGTTCCATCCCTTGTATATATATATATATATATATATATATATATATATATATATATATATATATATATATATATATATATATATATATATATATATATATATATATATATATATATATATATATATATATATATATATATATATATATATATATATATATATATATACTACCGTTCAAAAGTTTGGGGTCACATTGAATTGTCCTTATTTTTTAAGGAAAAGCACTGTACTTTTCGATGAAGATAACTTTAAACTAGTCTTAACTTTAAAGAAATACACTCTATAAATTGCTAATGTAGTAAATTACTATTCTAGCTGCAAATGTCTGGTTTTTGGTGCAATATCTACATAGGTGTATAGAGGCCCATTTCCAGCAACTATCACTCCAGTGTTCTAACGGTACAATGTGTTTGCCCATTGGCTCAGAAGGCTAATTGATTATTAGAAAACCCTTGTGCAATCATGTTCACACATCTGCAAACAGTTTAGCTCGTTACAGAAGCTACGAAACTAGCTACAAAGCTACAAAATACGCGCACAAAATACACGCACTTGGGGGCCATACATCTTACTGAATTCCATTTTGAGTTGCTGCAATGAAATTTCAGCAAAATGGACTAGTCTGCCGCATAATTTTTTCACTGTAATTTTTGGGGTGTCTTTGAATTTAGCCCTCTGTAGGTTGATAATTATCATTTCCATCAAATGATGGGGCATCCTTTTGTTCCTAACACATCACCCAGTCCATATCAGTATAAATAAACAGCATAATTATTTCCCCATTGAGATCTGATGTGTTTTCAAAGTGTTCCTTTAATTTTTTTAGCAGTGTATATATATACACTATACATATCTTATATATCTTTGGAGTGCTTACATTTCTAGATTTGTTCAAGTAAAGGCAGCTATGTAAATATGACTAAGTAGTACCTAAGTAGTACCTTTCTTTGATTATTATTTATTATTATTAATGTGCTATATTGCTTCTTATTTTTCTACATTTTCAAAATGCAACTTTATCCTCATCATGTGTTTTGATACTTTTTCAAACCTTTTACTTTTGTCCCCTAAGAGTATGGGTTGAAATAGGTAATCATAATGATTATTTAAAATAATCTTTTTATTTAGTAATGTTTTTTTGCATCACTTTGCTTCTTTGGTTACTGTTGTTCAGGATGCTTATAATGTTTGAAATGAGCGTTACAATAAATAGATCAAATAAATAGAGTACACACACACACAAACTCAGGAAAGATGAGTAGACAGGAAACACACTGTGTTTCCTCAGCTTTATGACATCAGATTTTTCTTACACAGCAATAATGCTAATTTCTCTTTGGAAATGTTAAGCAAATATCTCACTCTTATCTGAAATATGCAGTTGATGTGTATGATTAAAAAGGCCATCACTAGAAAGTCTATGTTGAATAGCAACCTTAAAAACATCACCACAACAACAAAAAAGATGATCCTGAAAGCAGCACTGCTTTGTAGATGTTGTGTTTCCTTCTTTGAAGGTATTCATTATCTATATCACCATATTTGTTTATTATTAATTAATTAGTTTTCCATTCCTGCTTCTTTAGAAGAGCTTGTATATCCTAATTTCTAAGAGACTATATAATTTTATCTCCTGAGTCACACTCAAAAGCCTTCAGTCACAGGACCATACTGGACTTATCCATGTTTGGTACTTGGTTGATGCTATTTCTTTGTGTTACTGCAGTTAGAAGTGAAGAGAAAATAATCAGTGGTTCAAACAAAGGCATAGGAAGACTCGTACTTTTAGGGAGTAGGAGCTTGTGACATAAACACAGGAAGGAAGGAGATCCCATGGTTCAACCTAAGTGAGGAAGCCAGATGTTTCTGAAGTAATTTCCATTATAAAAAAATAAAACAGAAACTGGAACTGATGTGCATGTAGCTTGAGCAGACAGTTTGACATTCACACAAACAAGGGGACAAGAACAACAGCCACCCAATCAAGTACGTTAATAGGGCTACATAAAAAGAGCATTTCAAAGAAGTGCTAGGTACAAACAATCGAGTAGGGTATAATGATTCACTTTTTTTTATACACCCGTCTGATAGTGTTTAGAAAATAAGTTACCGTAAACAAGTTCACATGTATTATTCCATAACTCAAATTGTGAGGTTTTAAATATTTTCTTGTTAAATACATTTTGGACACTTGCACCTAAGATATTTTAAATCTGAACCAATGATACATAAGAGATAACCACTTATATTCTTTTTAAAATATACATAGTTGGTAACTTTATTAATTTCCATAATACTTAATCTGTAAGTAAATATTGACTATGACATGAGATGGATTGTCATATAACAGTCCTAACAGGGGCTTGTATCATGCAACCTTGGAGAAAATCAGTTACCTATAATGATTCTTATTTACATTCAGCTAAAATGATACTGAATAGAACAACATTATTCATATTACCTTAGTTAAAATAAGGTAATTTAAATTGAATAATAATAATCTCTTTTTTTTTATTTTGTTAAATGATTTGTCAATATAGCTCTGGGAATAGATGTCCCAGAGCTCAATGACAGCCCAACAGATTTGCTTTCACAAGCAGACAATTACGACTGTTGCCATAAGGTTCTGCTTAGTACTTGTGTTGAAACTTTATTGAAAACTATTTTGGGAGTATAATCGAATACAATGGACACTGAGACGGAAAGGGAAATGAAAAAGAATAAGGGTATAAGAACTAAGGGGAGGGAGAAAAACATAGAGACAGGAAAGTGTGCATTAAAAGAGGGAAAAACAGCAAAAAGAGACAACACAGAAGATATACAGTAACTCCTAGAAGTCTGCTTCCACACCTGTATGAGACGCGAGGAACAGAAAACAGAGAAAATAGCAGCAAAAAGGAGAGAATTGACAACCAAAGTGAAGATAAAAAGCTTCAAAAGCGGGTATGCATTAGATATCCATGTGTGTTGAAGTCAAAACCTATGGTCATTAAACAATATTAGTCAGGATGGTATATACCGGTAGCTGCAGCTTATTATTAGTGTGTATCTGTGAGTACCTGGAACCAAACTCACATGGTATGTATGCTTGGGCGTGCACATGTATATAGGTTTTACAAAGCTTCTTCTGCTTAATAGCAGGTGTGGGTGACCCCAGCTGCGCCCTACAGGGCCCAGGATCAATACATAGGTAAACCTAGCCGCAGATATCTAAAGGCACCCGTGATCACTGGGATACAAGGAGGGCAGACATAGGGATGGCTGCACCTACCTGAGGAGGGCAGATGAGGGCATAAGGAGCAAGACCCCCAAAGGGTTCAAACCCCAAAGCGGCCCAATCCCTGAGGTACTCAACCCCAGAGGCCATAGTGCACAGATCCTAAGGGGCCAAGGCAGCGAGCCCATGGGCTCTCCCTGTGGCTCTCCCTGTGGCTGCTCACACCCAAGGTGGATCCAGATGAGACCCCTGGGTCCAAGATCCGGGGACGCACCACCCCCAAGTGGGGACTTCACAGGGCCAGGAGGTTTAGGCCCTGCCCGCCAGGCACCATGAATGGAACAGCTCCAACCCCGCATTAAGAGAACCATGAGCGCCACAGGCATAGCTTTCTGAAGGTACTGGTGTGGACATGTCTCCACCAGCTTTGGCCTGCTGCTCTGTTTTCAGAGCGTTTTCAGTTTCTGTTTTATTCTATCTCTCCCGCCTATCGTTGTAACAGTCATGTTCAGACATAATACTATTTGCAGTTGCTATTCACTGCGTAAATAGTAGCTATGTGGTTGGAGGACAGACAACAAACCAGTAGCACTCAGTGAATTTTAACCAGCAGCTACATTGATGGATGTTTAAGTAAAAATTAGGAGACTGGTTGGTTAATAAAAAAATAGAGATGCAACCGAAAAATCAGTTTGTTAGACATACAGAGCTTTTTCAGCAAAGAAAAACGGCAACAGAGTGTAATTTTGTACAAGTTAGTATTATGGTGCAATAAGTTCAACAAATCATAGAGTTTAAAGGTTATCTTCTTATTTACTACTTAAAAAAAGCTTGGCTTCATAGAGGACCATGACTCACAGTTACAGATTAGAGAATGAACACCTATCTCCCGTTTTCGTATTGAAATGACATAATAAGACAGCAGAGCTTTTAGATATCTTGAAAATCAGTTTTTTTTGGCATCATTATATTAGTAGACAAATTCATAAAGCTCCTTTTAAGCAGAGAACAGATACACAAGTAGGCACAGCTGCAGATTTAAAGGTGAAACAGATTTACTGGGTACGCAACCTGCAATAATATATATCTCCAAGTTTACCAGAAAGTGTACAAGAAAAAAAAAAACACTATACCTTTTTTAAACAGTAGCATATATTTTTTTCTTTTGTAATCCAGCCTAATTCAGACTCAAAAATAGCCGTGTCAGGCAGCCAAGAGGCAGATGCAGAGTCAGACTCACAGGTGTGACAGACTTAAAACTGAAACGTAGGATACATAAACAAATTTAAGCACAAACATCAGAATAAAATCAGATCATCAATCTTTTTTGATATTCACTGATGCAGCTTAAAGGGAAACCGCCCGTCCCTCAATCCATCCATCCATCCACCAGCATCATAAGCTTAATATACATACATAAATACATAGACATTAGATATGATAGATTAGACATAGATAGATTGAATGAATATTGCCCTTTATAAATTATGTGTTAAAAGGTATCTAACTATCTCTCCTGTGTTTGAAACAATATGAAAGCCTTCAATATAGATATGGTTGGGTATTTTTATACCTAATTTAGGCCTTGTAACTGTAACTCCAACAGCCACCAGCCTTAGAGTGTCCCCACCAACTTTGATCACAAAGTTACCCCTTGATCAGTAGACACAGGTACCTATCATCAGCGAGAAACATAAGAAGGAGGAGGATACAGACCCTGCTCATTCTTGGGGCCCAGGGCCGCTGGAAATAATTTTGATCAGGGTTTTTTTTTGTTTTTCTTTTTTCTTTTTTTGACAAAAGACCCATGAGCCTATAAGCCTATTTAAAATACAACACATAAAAATAAATAAATAGATTGAGATTCACTACTTTATTGTCATATACACTTCAGTGCACGCAACCAGGGTCTGTAATACACAGACATCCTTAATCACATTAATCAGTTCTCGGGTGTATATATGCGCTATTACTTAAACTTCACAATAAAAAAAGACATTCAGTGCCTTAAAGCCAATTTGAAAGCCAGCATTCATGAAGGGATTGTCTCTCTTAAATTTGTCTCTAGGTATGACTTTTTTTTTATGTCTGCTTTCAGACAATCGAAACACATAAAGTAGCCACCTCCATTTAGCAAACCAAGCTGGTGCCACAGAGCTGGAGAATGTTTCATTGCCACAGCGCCATGCAGGAGATTTGAAATAGGATGGCTGGAAGGGCTTTTCTAACCCAATCATACTGATGCTGGGCTGGGCCTGCTGGTGAGACTGCCATCGGAGGCTGGCAGACAGTCTCCTCTCTCCAGCTGCTCTCCGTTGTCATGGTTGCAGTTTTAGTGTTCTTCACTGGTGGTGGTTTTCCAAAAAAATCCGAATGCATTTCTGTCATTACACTCATGTAAATTTACTAGACTGTTGCCAGTGAGTGAGATACCTCAGTAACCACTAGCTTGCTTGATGTAGCCATGATAACGTAACTTCCATGAACTTCTGTTGATTAGGCCTAAAAATAATTAAATTAAAATCCAAATACACATAATAGAAAAATAAAAGAAATTTATTAATTGTTCAAAGTATTAAACATAAAAAAGTATCCCTCTCGCCACTAGGGGGTGCTGCATCACCCCCAGCACCCCCCACTTTCCGCGGCCATGTTGGGGCCTGTAATGTTCCAGCAGGTGGGGGAGACAAACACTTGACAACCTGAAGTAGACAAAGACACATTTATATTCATCTAGTCACATTCCCACCCATACGGACATATACACGCACTCAATGGAGATGCACACAGGGGAAGACACTAAACATCTTAGACAATGACTCACATCCTCTCCACAACATACAGGTCCAGCAGACGAGCTCCATTCAGCAGAAGACTTTTTTTACCCAGATGCAACACACAGGAAATCATTCCTGCATTCCTGCCTGTGGTCATCAATCTCTACACCGCCTCCCTCAAGTGATTCAGACCCCCCCCCCCCCCCCCCCCCCCTGTAATTGACATTTATTCATTCCTTGCAATGTTTTTGAACGTCACTATCACTATATTTGGATATATATATATATATATATATATATATATATATATATATATATATATATATATATATATATATATATATATATATATATATATATATATAAAGTAATTTCCCTCTGGGATTAGATTATTAAAGTATGTCTTATTCTGATTCTGATCATCTTACACTCCTCATACATTCACCATCCTGCATCCTTCCAACTCTACGATCCAATCCTCCAAATGGAAACACACCCACAGACCCAGGATGAGATCCCCAGACCCCCCAGTGTGGGAAGGGGCTGGGATCAGGGGGCTGAGACTGGAAACCACCAAATGGAGGAGAGCAGCAGCCCCAGACCCATCCCAGGGGGGGCACCCCAAACCCATCCATAGCACCCCCCACCTTTACAGATAATAAAAATAATAATAATCTCATATAATTTGGTGAAATTAGATATAGTTTATAAGATTTAATGATTGTTGTTGTTTTATTTCACTGTAAATTGAAAGATCTTTATAAAATATTTATGAAACATCTTAGAACACAAAGACTGGACCTTAAACGTCCCTTATTGGCAGAAGGGTTTGCATTAAGTCTCGTCAGAAGTTATACTTTAATATAAGACTTGATACAAGAGATGTCTAAACGACTACAGAGCAAATGACTGAGAAGAAGGAAGGGGAAGTTCTGCCAGACTGAGGGGGTTTCCCATCAGCCAGCCGCCCCCGTGTGCTCCACGCGCTCTAAACTGCTTCTCTCCAGATGTTGCAGCTCGCAGACATGAGCGGACAGCTCGAGGAAACGCTACTGTCATGACGCGCACGGATTTAAATCCTAATCAAACTTTTTAATTTTGTTTGGACGCTGATCAGCTGTTTCCAGACCGCAGAGATGGAGTACTGGAGGCAATGTGCGATGTGGCTGATCGGCTGCAACGTCCTGCCGGCGAACCACCGGGTCACCGCGGACACGGCTAAGGTGTTCGACCTGGCGCAGACCCTGCGGGACGGGGTCCTGCTGTGCCAGCTGCTCAACAACCTGAAGCCTCACACCATCAACCTGAAGGAGATCAACCTGAGGCCGCAGATGTCCCAGGTACTGTAAGCTGATCTTTACTAGGCTGCTGATTGTAACGCGCGCAAAGGAAGTGTAAGAAACAATCACACTTAAAATAACTGTTTAATTAATTTAAAGTTTTAATGTCAAACATCTTAAGTCACTTTGGATTAGCTTCCCTAATACATTTCATATATGCAGCAAGAAATTTTGTAATTTCTGCAGATGGGGTCAGACAAAAAAGGGCTATTATAAAGAAAAACAACTATAAAACCACTATATATATATATATATATATATATATATATATATATATATATATATATATATATATATATATATATATATATATATATAACATTTTGATTAATTGTTAATTGGAATCATCATCAACTGATTTATTAATCGATTTATCGTCAACTGCAATATAGAAACTCTAAAGCATGTCTATAGCTGACAGATCAACCCACTTAAAGTAGTAATTATGCAAAGATTATAAAAAATAAAGCTTGAATTCTATATTTCAAACATTTTTCTCTGCTAAATTTGAAGGTTGTGACTCAACATCCAAATGAAACCCCAAATTAAGTTGCTCAAAAATATTTGACTATAAAAAGAAATTCAAAACAATTATAAGAGAAATGTAAATGCAGTTATGGGGTCTGTAGATTCATGGAAAATAAGGTTAAATGAGAAATCATGGTCAACTTTCAGTATATAGGGCTGGCTAAAGAGGGATTAGTAAGGGGTTGTCAGTAGTGGCTTTTTAAAGGTCTGTAAGTATGACAGATTTTAAGTGCCTAAATATCATACTGAGATCAGCTGATCTGAAATACTTCCTTTATCCGGGACAAGGTATGAAGGAAGATATGTAGTTTATGATCTAAATAAGGAATCCTTTTATCATCGGAAGGTGGAGACCGGAGGTCACACACATTAAAAAGAGGGGCAGAAAAATAGAAAATACATAATAGAATTATAATAATATTAAAGTACTTTTTATGCAGGTTAACATAAAAAACATCCACATTAAGCTTGGTTAAACAAGAAATACTCATTCATTTACATTTTTTTCCTCAATGTAGCTTTCCTAAATTAGCTGATTTCTTTTGTGTGTTGCTGAACTGTCTTGAGACAGATGCATTAATTATCAGAATTGTTGTTGGGGCTGTTTATAGTGGTTTAAATTTCTAAATCTGTAACAATCATTGAAGTTTATTTTGCAAAAGTCAGATGCAATGAAACTTTCCTTGGCCTTCTTCTTACAGCCACTGGAGAGGTCTGATAAAATCCTGACTTTGATCCACCCCTCAGTCAGGAAACACGTGCCATTTGTGCAGCGGCAACTTGTTTGCTTGAGAAAATGTTTGAAGCCAAATAAAAAATACTTCTTTACATACAGGGTGTGAAGTAAGTTTTAAGCACATTAACATTTATCTAACAACATTTGAAAGCAATTAGGAGTTTATTTGGCTGTTGGTTATGACGGTCTTGTGTCAAGAATTTGCTGTTTTGTTTTCAAGAATGAAGTACGAGATAAATTCCTCTATTTATTCTTCCTTCACATTTATAAAGCCTGACAGTTTTATAAATAAAATGTTTTTATAATAATGTGATGTTTTACCCTCCAAAGTGCCAATAACACAATGATATTAAAAAAGTGTAATTTTGACCAAATTTTCCCAGTATTTCATAGGCTTATCTAAATCCACTTCAGCACACTTTAAAATAGCTTCACAGAAATACCTTCAAAAGAGGAGTCTTGTGCAAAGAGGCAAATGCAACTGAGAACAAAACTGTTTTAGATGTTTAAAAAGCTGGCAGAAATATTATAAGGACTACCTGGTCACACTTTTAAAGGACGCAATCGGCTCCAATAGTAAAATTCAGAGCATAGTGGTGAGGAAAAAAAAAATTTCAGTGTATTCAGATGCGATAATTGATATGTTACTTCATGACCTAATATTAAGGAATGAAGAGGACAGAATTGAGAGGCATATTAGGATGGCACCTGGACAGTTTATTGTGTATAACATATACGTATAACATGAAAAGAAAGAAATTTGTTTCTAGAAATTACTAGATATTTTGGCCTCGTGGTTAGAGCAGTGCATGGGTGCTCTGAGAAGTTTGCAAGTACCCGGTTCGAACCCCCCAGCATAGACTCTAGGTCTCTGAGCAGGACCCTTAACCCCCCAATGCTCCCCGGGCGCCACATAATGGCAGCCCACTGCTCCCCAAGGGGATGGGTTAAATGCAGAGAGGGAATTCATCTAGTGTGAGATCAATAAAGTTCAATTATTATTATTATTTGACAAGATCCATATGCAGGATGTTTTAACTTTAAAGACAATCTTTTTAATTTAAAGAGACAAAAAGCAATATTGTATGTTTTAGCAAGAAGGTGGAAGTAAATGCTATAAATCTGAATCTTGTCAAAGTTGAAAAGCTTAGGTGATTCTAACTAAAAACTATGAAGGATCTGTAATCATTACAAAACATGGAAAATCTAGGATTTTATCTGTGTGTTTTGCAACAGTACTATAGAGCTGGCATAGGCCTTAACACAGCTCTTTGTTTTTTTTTTGTATGTAATGAAAGGGAGAGACTATTTTTGAAACTATCATTTGGGAGTAAATCAGTTGATATTTGTCCTTCACTGTGTTAAAGATTCTTTTCCCTGAAAAGAGATCACTCGGGACAAACTCTTTAAATAACACTTTATAATTTATATTTATTAAATAACCAGGAGACATGACAACAGATTCTGATAGAAATTGGTGATTGGGAGCTGCATTGCATTTTGGATAGTTTCCAATTTCACAAACACTTCTCACTTTTTGCTCTGTATTGGCCATGTTTTCGTCCCAACATGTTCAAAATCAACAAGCAATATAGATGCATGTTCTGACAAACTCAAACAAAGCCAGGTTGTTTAATATGATCCCAACTCATTCAAACATATTGCATTCTTAATATTTGCTAATAGCTTTTAGGGCGCTCTTTGAATTTCCTTCACAGTCACATGAACAGGAAACTTTAGAAGTGGTAAAGGTTTCTAAGAGTATGACACTCTGGTGCAGCAAACATATCATAAGGTATCATAAAAAAGAAATACAAGGAAGTACATCTAATAATAACTTGCGTATGATTAGTTGATAAAAAGAGGCAAAAACAGTTAAGTTTTACATCCAATTAGAACAAATAAAGGGGAAAATAATTAACCGTGAATTCCTTTCTTAGTGGGGTTATATGAGATACTGTTTTCATGACCGAATTGTAATCTTTATAACTATGAATTGCTGTGAGTGGTGTATGACCCGTCTGCTTCATCTAGGTCCTTTATATCTTGTTCACAGGCTTTTAAAGAGAACCCAAAGTAAAAAGAGCCAAACAAAAGTCCTGTGTCCTGCAGCTGTAGGTCATATGAGTGTATAGCTAAGAGAGGCATGTGTGTCATTGAGCTCCAGATTCGCAAATGGCATTTTCATTGTTCTCCCTCCTATTTGGCAACAATTAAATTCAGCAGAAAAGGGGTGGACGGTGTTAAGGACGATGAATCGGTTCAAGTCGATTAGGAAATTAAAATATACTGTGAAGTTAAAGTGTTACTGAGAGGTTTTGGTGAATTATTCGGCGATCAATACATTTCACCAGTCTTTTGTACAAAGAAATCCGAGTAAATTGTAGAAATGCAGAATATAGATATATAGGAAATGCATTGCCTTTGTAAATCACGGCATGCACTGCATACCGATCAGTAGCATTAAATACAGTTGAAACCAACTCTTACATTTTATTTACCCCCTCAATATTTCATCCACAGTGCTAAATATATCAACCCACAGTAGCTTTTTAAAGATAATTCACCAAATAATCTGTAGCTGTTTCTATTTTGTTCTACTGGATTTAGACAACAAACTGCGCAAGAGCTGTGCCTAAACATAGAAGTATGTGGCTGTTGCTTGTGCAAAGACTTTGTGTTTCAAACACTTCCTCTGCAGAATACCAGGGCCCCCAGGGGGTGGTGGAGTGATTACAGGCGTCTCCACGATGAGCCGATGAGATAAAACAGTCTATCTGTACTCAAGAATCTTCTGCTTTTGCATTTGAAGAGATTGAGTAATAACTGTTAGAAAAAAATAAAAAGGCATCAGAAAATGAGTTAATTTTTATATTATCAGAATGAATACAAATATATGTTTTAGCACAATACAAAATGTGTAGATTATTCAAACAAAATGTCAAAATTCCTGAAATTATAAATCATAACCATGACCTGCCTTCTCCGTGACACTTTAGATCCTCGTAGGAAGTGACACCAGAAATGGCTTGAGCTTGAGGTTTCATTTCATGATGATAAACCTTTAGTTTTCACTTTCACTTTGGAGTTCTTGATGCTTTGACGATCTCTATGACAGTTCATTTTATTTTACCAGGGCAGGTCTAACTTCATTTTGTATGTAAGATTATTTGAACCTAATTAGAAAAAGAAAGATTTTTTTTCACTTGAAAGCTGAAAACACTTTATCCAGACAGACTTTTATGTATTTTGTATAACAGAATGACATAAGGTATAAAATAATATTAAAAAAAAAAGGAAAAATAAACACAAAACTGTCTAAATTCAAACAAACTTTGAAAAAAAGCCTTCTTTACTCTAAATATTTGAAATTAAATAGAGTGCATCCAACTGCCTTTATAGGCAACTTAATGAAATTAGGATTAAATAACAGAAATTAATTTTATATGTAAGGATTTTTTTATTCTTAATTGCCTGAAATGAGCACAAAGTTTAATGTGTAGCGATAAACATGAGAAAATTATTGACAGAATGTGGTTTTCACATTGAGTCATGAAAAGCAAGAAGCAGAAGATTTCATTTAATTTTCTAGTCTGATTCATGTTATGAAAACCCAACACCTTCATTGTGGAGTTACAGTGTAAAAGTTTCTCCACCTCAGCCTCAGAAAGTAGAAGTCGCAATTACTAAACAAGTTTAACTTATTAAAATGACAATATTACTATAATTTTTGCTGTATATACGGTTTGTTTTAAACGATATCCAATCTGATTCAGCCTGATGGCATGTATATGTAAATGATTCTGCTGATTTTCTATATAACTCTGTGATAGTTTTAAAAAGTACTGAACATTGATGGAAATGGAAAGTGATCTTTAAAAGCAAGGACACTCACAAAGCAACTGAAACTCGGGTGAAAGAGTTCACTGGAAATGCTGTTGATTCTAATTATGAGAAACTTCAATTTACTCAGAATTTCAGATTTACAGTTTTAAATAAGCATCTAATAAGAATTCGATCCTAGCACGGGTTAAGAAACATGTTTAAGACATTAAAAGAATTTACAATTAAATGCAAGAGTACAGGTGTAATGTGTATTTTCATAATTAATATTGATGGATGTCATTTTCTTCTTCTTGTAGTTCTTGTGCTTGAAGAACATACGGACTTTCCTGTCCTCTTGCTGCGATACGTTTGGGATGAAGAAAAGTGATTTGTTTGAAGCCTTCGATCTTTTTGATGTCAGAGATTTTGGAAAGGTAAGAAAACCACTTATCATTCTATCTGTCTGCTGCTCTATCACTCAGCCGGTCTCTGTCCCATGCATTAGAGGTTCAACCTCTCAGTGATTTAGAGATTTTCCAGTCTTTTACAAGAGAAAAAAATACACAAAGATTTAACAGTAAATCTGTTTCTAAAGTAAATTTGTGATTAAAAGATAAATAAATATATTTAAATTATCGATGTACTGTTATGAGCCTTCGGACACGGTGAAAAACCAACCGCAGTGGTGACATTGCTTCTCACCTTCAGTTGCAACCACAGTTCTGAGCTGCACCACGATCACTGTGATGTGACACGATATTAACGCTGCTGCTATATCGAGTATCTCCATTTAATAAATAAATAAATACCTTTTCAGTGTTTAAAATGTTTGATGTGCTGCTACCAACCAGTTGTGATCTGCTGTTTTTGAGATGCACATGTTCCTGAAGACAAAAAAAAAGACACAAAAGTTTCTGCATTGTTAACTATATTTTGCCAGGCTTCACCTGTCCAAGCCATGGATTAAAAGAGTGTGGGATTTATTGAAGGGAATGCGACATTGACTAAACTATAACATTTTAAAGTTCATATGTTAGACATACAATTAATAAAATGGGATACTTCTTTGGGTGATCATCATAGATCAAGCGTTTAAAAGTTTAAAATTCTGAAATCCCTAACTTTTTTTTTTTTTTGTGGGGGGGGGGGGGGGGGGGGGGGGGGGCGGTTGGGTTAACAAAAACAATTAGGAGAAATTTATTGGTACAATTACTTTGTCTTTGGCAGTCAGACCTCAGCAGGAAATATAGCACTTAAATTTGATAGATATGCATGAACAGGAGCAAACAATAGGGCTGTTCCCCCCAGGCCTGAAACTGGTGGTGGAGTGGAGATAGATGAAGTTGGTCAGTCTGTAGACTGATGGTTAGTGAGATGGTATGCTGAGCTTTATGGGGAGATCCAGTGGATAACAAATGTTGAAAGAACCTGTCCATGATGAGCAAAGCATGAAGCGATAGTGGAGAGGAAAAACTCCCTGTTGGGAAGAAAACCTCTGGCAGAACCAGGCTAAATATGGCGGTCTTCTGCTGGACCGGTTGAGATGACACAGGGAACGCAGTAGGGCTGCAACAACGAATCGATAAAATCAATAAAAATCGACTTTTAAAAAGCGTTGGCAATGAATTTCATCATCGATTAGTTGTGTCGCGCGATTAATGCGTCATCCGCCGCCGTCGACTCCCACAGGAGTCCCTGTCAGAGCCGCCGGATGTTTACCCTCAGCGTCCAGACTGCAAATGAAGCGCGCATGCGCCGGGATTGACGGCGCAAATTGATCACAATAATTAAAATAGCCTGCGCTATGTAAAGCGAAAAAAGTTGTAACATGCAACTTTTGTAAAAACAAATTAACATGGCACGGAAGCACTGTTATGATGCAGCACCTGAAAAGAAAACACGATAGAGCCTTCGATGGCAGTGAAGAGAGCTGATCAGCAGGATGAGTAACCATGTTTGTTTAGTTTTAAAGTGGGGAAACGTAACGTTAGTTTCCCAGGTAGCTCATCTGATGCTTTCCTTACCTTGTTAGTAGGTTACAGACAGGGATAAGGTTGGCTACTTATTTTACTTTTAATTTCATTTGAATTAGCTTAAAGGAAAATTCCGGTTTTTAACACTTTTAGCCCATTTTCTGTAGTGTCCAGGATGAAATCGAATGATCGACACCAAAATTTTGACGATTGGTCCTGTCTGCTATTTGGCTCATGCAGAATCCCCCCCTGGCTGCTTCAGAATGGCTTCCATAGTGCATGTCCGATAATGTCCTTAAAACAACCTTAAACGTTCTTTTTTTAAAATATGCTACTCACCGGGTCGTCAGCGCTGTTCAATGACGTTCCAAAAAAAGTTTCGTGAAGAAAAACCGTTCCTGTCTTGTTTTATTTAGCATTTTGTAAATCCCAGAACAATTTTTTCCGATACATCACAACCGCTTATAAACTTCCGCTTCCCGTTCGAATCTGAAGCGTTGCACACTCCAGACCACTAGTTGGCGACGGTATCCTCTACCGTCAAACTCAAAGTCCAATATGTCCTCCTCAAGAATCCACCTTTCGTATTCCATTTTCAGAGTTTTTTAAAGTGTTTAACAGAGACGTTAGCACCTCGACGTCGGAGTACACAGAGTGAAGCATAAACACTTGGGCCTTGCGAAAAGACTACAACTAAGTGTAAACAGGCCCCATTTCCGTTTCCGGTGGCGGAGGGATATTGACTATTCCAACAGAACTCAATGGGATTTAAAAAATGCTAAATAAAACACTACAGGAACGTTTTTTCTTTACGAAACTTTTTTTGGAACGTCATTGAACAGCGCTGACGACCCGGTGAGTAGCATATTTTAAAAAAAGAACGTTTAAGGTTGTTTTAAGGACATTATCGGACATGCACTATGGAAGCCATTCTGAAGCAGCCAGGGGGGGATTCTGCATGAGCCAAATATCAGAGACAGGACCAATTGTCAAAATTTTGGTGTCGATCATTCGATTTCATCCTGGACACTACAGAATATGGGCTAAAAGTGTTAAAAACTGGAATTTTCCTTTAAGCAGCGTTTATATTTTCGTTATAAATAAATTAACTTGCAAATTATGAGGGCAAGGCTTTTAAAGTTTAAATCTTCTGGCAAAGATAAAGTAAAGAAGATCCTGCAATTTATGGAATTAAAGCAGAATAAAATCCAGCAAGATCAGTAATATGTCAATTAATTATATTTGCCACATTCCCATGTAAATATCTGTCTTTGGACGATGTGTTTTTCAGCACCCCTAGTTCTCTCATTTGTATTCCAAATACAATTTATAATTTGAATCACAGGGCTATTTTTATCTCTTTGGTTAAGTATTTTCTCAAGTAGCAACTTTAACTGCTATACTTTCCTGTGTTAAAAGGCAGAACTCTTCTAGTCTAAAAAAAACTCATTTATTGAAATGCGGGGACCTATTGTTTGAGCCCTTTGGGGGCTTTTAAAAAAAAAAATGCCTGTCTTTTTTTGTGCTTTATGAAACAAAGTACCCTATATTTTGTGGATGTACAGCTACATTTCTCATGTAAGTTTGCGTAGTTTTAACACAAACATTTATTTTTCATATTGCACCAGTACAGTTAATGAGCAACCTGTACTTGTGTGCTTGTTTGTTCCATCTAAAATGTTTATTTTGGAATAAAGAGGTTAATATAAAAAGTATTTTTTGTCCGATTCATCGATTAATCGAAAAATTAATCGGCCAATTCATCGATTTTTAAAATAATCGTTAGTTGCAGCCCTAGAACGCAGTAACAAGTATGGGAGGAATGACACTCTAATGTAGCTTTAGCTACGATGGTGGAGGAGGGGCTGGAGGTGGGTTGAAACTGTGTCATCTGAATGAAGTCACACAAGCGCATCCGCCGCCTGCACACAGGACCAGACAAGATCGGAGGCCTTTTAAGATGAACTTTGGATGCCGATTGGCTTTCATGGAGATGTGGTTCAAAGCTAATTGGCTGTGTCACAGGTGGATGGATGTAGGTGACAATGGGTTTCTTCAGTTGAACTTTCACCTAGACTCCATATGTTATTTTCCTTTGGATTAAGATACATTTTGCATAATTTTTTTTCCCTCTGTCCCCAACTCTCACCCCATAGAAAACTTGGAGAGTTTAAACATATCAAACTTTCATACCAGATTAGACTGCTTACTGAATACGAGTAAAGATTCAAGTTCTGTTTTCAAATTGCAGTTTTTCACAAGAGTATAATTTCATCCTACATACCAATGATCTGCCGTGGCAGATATTAAGACACCCTTCTGATACCTCTTCATTGTCTTAATGGTCTCCCCTTTCCATTTAGCTTTAACGGTGAGCAAGTGGAGCAGGTGGAGAGGCAAAGGGTCATGCAAAAGCTAAATGGAAAAGGGAAAACATTAAGAGAATGCACAGGGACCAGAAAATGCTTAATAGAGTGTGTAAAATAAGGTACAATTTAAAAGGATTAGAAAATGCAAGGTGGGAAAGAAGCGAAAAGGGAAAAGGAATTACATTTATAAATGTTTAATAAGGGAAGGTACCTATAATCAGTTTTATAAATTGTGGTTTTTAAATCTCAATTTAGAAATAGTATTTTAGAATATTTTCTTTAAAGCTGAAGCATTTAATAATGGATTAATAAATACAATTTACAAATCCTCTTTAATATTTTAACTTAAACAGGGGATTTAGAAAATGCTTTTTTAGAATACATATATTAAACCACCTAAATCTATAAAATGGCAAAGCAGATGAGCAAAACTAATCATGCTTTATACATATCTTTACAAATATATATATATATATATATATATATATGACAGGCTAAGATTAAAGTGGGACCTTTTGTGAAAACATTGTCTTTGGCAACAGCAAATAGGTTAAAACACAAGATTCATTTTCCTAATATATTTTCTGTTTTATTTATAGGTGCTTTTTTTTCTCTCTTGATCGTTTTATTTGTAGATACAGTCTGAAGACTGTATTATGTGAACAACAGAGGTATGTGCGGCAATCTACTCATAATGTAGTAATAGTGAAATACAGATATATTGAAACAAATTTTACATTGAAGACTAGAGCTGTTTTTAACCAGTAAGCCCAAATTTATTAATTAAAAGTTCTTTCATACCTGCAAATTTTTATCTTATTTTTGCTCATCACATAAATAAATGTGCATTTTAACCATATTTTCGTGTTAAAGGGAGTCAAAAAACAAACAAAACAGATTTGTAAGCTCTTACATAACAGCTTTAATCATTTAATCCGATGATATAGGATTTAACCATGGTTTTAATTACCCTTTTGTGGTCTTAAGTTTTTACTAGTCATATGTGATTGTAGAAGTTTTGACAGTTGTGCAGTAATTGGCTGCTCATTGTGTGTGTATATATATATATATATATATATATATATATATATA